CATATATTTCCCGTTAATCAAATCTTTTAAAAAGCTAACGATCTTACGTTATTTTAAATAATTAATTTCGAGTACAGTTAGTTTGGATTAATTATAATAAGGCATTAAGTACATGAAATGGAATGTTCTCTATAAAGTATGGATACTCACAAGTTTGATAAACCGGACGCGGTTATATATCTTGTGGAAACCTTAAGATAAGTCAGCGTCTTTTTTCAAAGATGATTTCAAATGCCTTGCGGTGAAGACTTGAAACAAAAAGTAAACATCCTGTCGATATAGTCCATTGAAAACAAGTAAAAACATTACAGGCGAGTAAGCTGTACCTCAAACATCCTTCACTATTTCGCCTGACGTAATTCTTCATATGCCTTTACAATCAAGCAAGCAAGCAAGCAAACTCAAAATGTGAAGTCACGTGCTATACAAATTTAGCAAAATTAATAAACTTGTCAAAGATCTTAATTTTTTCTCCTGATTTTTGACAAAAAACGTTAAAACTGATCATATGTCGGTGATCATGTAAAGGTGTAATCTTCATGAGCATATTTATATAAGATAGGAGCCCAAAAAAATGGACTTATGTGATCCAAACTTGGTACATCGCGAAATATTAAAAACTAAAACTTCTTGTCAGGCTTACTTTACGTGCGAATGATCATAAGCGACGAAATTACAAACATTGATCTGTCTGATCCAAATTTTTCACAACAATTTAATATGCCAAGAGACAACTCGTACTAGTTCATATAAGGGCTTTTTCGAAGGAAGTGGTTATTTGAGGAGTAGTTGTAAAAAGGATCGATCTCATTAAGAATTAATTGAGAATGAGAAATATTTCGCATTCTACGCCTTATGTATTTACGCAAAAAATATAAGTATGCGATATTTGAGTGCAGTAATATTTACATGTTATACCCTGCGTTTGTTTAGTGACCTTATTTCCGCAGTCCATTTTTTATGTTGCCTTTGTCGAATTTCTAGCGAAATATAGAGATCTACACTCAACAATGGAAGAGCGTAATAAAATTTGTATCTATAGGTGACATCTTCTCCGGTTCAGCGCCGCTAACATTTTTTGAACCAATTTTGCTTGTCGGGCGTTCTTACAATAAAAAATGACCTCCTTTGGTATATTGTGGAGATTGAACTAGTTCTTTCTAATGATTGGAACGGTACGTAATAAGCTACGTTCCTCAAGCGAAAGTGCAATGGATCTTTAGCCTTACCCTCTATATTAGGGGTTCGTAGAGTAGTTTCCCACGTTTCCGATTGTCGTAACATATTCATTTTCCATCACACGTCATCATTCGATGAAAATTTTCGCGAATTCAAAAGTACTTTCCGCCTTTGTTTTGCGCATACAATATAATGAACACACATCGGACTGTAATGATTTCATTTATCCGGCACCACGCGCTACGAGCTTCTCTTGCATTTGGATTATCCACGCATCCGCTGTCTAACTCTTTCTCGATGTGTTTTCAATGCTTTTCCCGTTTTCGGTGATTAATGCATCTTGCTAATAATTTGATATTTATTTTGTCAATTTGAAATTTTTGCGTATGGCCAAAGTGTGCTATTAGCCATAAATCAGTTCTGTTATGGTTGCTATTATTGATTTTTGTGTCGTCCATACAATGTCCGTATGGATTAAAGAAAGGACATTGAACTAAACTTTAGTTCACCTTTGATACGGAATGTACTTTATCACTGAAAGGGGATGTTTGAAATCGTTCTTTGGTTTTTATTAGCTAATATATCCTTTAAAATTTTGAGCTCGATACGAAGCATTTAACATAGACCAATTGCAACTTAAATTCTCGCTGTTTTGCTATTTTTATGTGTCAGTTACAATATTTCCTACGATTCTCTTCTTTTATTCATAATCTTCTTTTAAGCAAAATATTAGTTTGCCTTTAAATGTAAAAAAAAAGTGCTGCGAGTTCATTAAATCAGATTTTGCCTAAAGATAGATTTGCCAAAAAATCGTTATATTGGGCTGTGGTTGAATCTCGCATACCCACCATTATTAAAATTTTCGACCTCCTATACTTTTACTTATTGTCATAAAAAAGTGAATGGGATAAAATATTTAGCTTTCATCTTTTACTTTACTAAATGATATTGTTAAGAAAAATTAATCTACCACGATCGCGATGACCATTACAGTTAATTTAGGATTAACAGGCTTAGCTTTTCGTATTCTACTCTCCAAGCCCTTTTATTTGATACCCGTGTGTACGATATTTTTCCGAAAAAATGTACCCAATATGTCGTCATGTCCACCACAATTAATTTAGAATTAAGACTGATTATTATTAAGAAAAAATTAATCCACCAGGTCGTGTTGTCCATCCACATTTATTTTACAATTAATGCATTTTAAAGCAGTGAAGCAGATATTTTCATTTAAGGAATGTTCAAAATATTTGTAAACATTGTCTTGTTTATCTTATGATTAATAAATACAAAATCTCAAAAAACCGAAAAGAAAAACATATAACAGTTTGTAACTTTATGTGCGAATGGACAATTTTTTCATTTTTGCACATAAATAGCTGTCAGCCTTCTTTCACAATTTGTGAGTAATGATCAAAAAATCACGGAGTTTTTTGTAAAAAAACTGAGTTACGTTCCGTTTATGCTTTACTGCGCACTTGTATTTTGATCACTTTGGCCCCATAATCAATACCAACCTACGCTCAAAAACTTCCAATGTTTCTTATAATCTTGATATTTTAATTTTTGTGACCAGGAAACACACAACACAGAAATTCGGACAGCGTAGACAGACAGTCATGGCTTAATCATTCTGAGTTTCATGTTGATCTAGAATATATATATATATTATAGCGTCGCTGAAGCTTCCTGTTGGGTGTTGCAAGCGTTAACACAAAATGAGTCCACCCCCATCTTTCAGTGGTGAGTATAAAAACATGTACAAAACAGGGTAAATCGAAACATAATGTAGGACGCCTTTGTCGTTTATTGATAATGAAAAACTAAAATGGCAGATTTAGTCACGGAAAACACAAAAATAATCAATTATTTTGTAAAACAAAACGCTACACTGCCACACGGTTCACCGTTAAATATCTTACACCACTTTTCAAATCCGAAGTATTTTTAATAGTGTTCGTCGTCCTTGGGCGTAAATGTGTTGACGTTGTAAATTACAGCAAAATATCTCCAAAATTGCGTCCTGTAGATTGAACATAAGCAAACAGGATGGACAGAGGGACAAACGAGCTTAGATTGATTCAAAAAGCCATTCCGAATCGATCGGTATAATAAAAGATGGGTCTACTTATAACTTAATACACCCTTGTGATGTAAACAGTGGTAGGGCATAAACGTCAAACAGAAGGCAGACGAAATGGAGGGAGTAATAATATTAGAAGATAAATAAATATTTTGTTTTGACAAGTTTAGTAAAAGAATTAAGGGCCTATTATGTCAAAATCGGGCTTTTTCTTGATTTCAAACATCCATCTATGAGTAAGACTTTACAGTCATTAGCTTCATCGCCCGTGTGTATGGAAACTGATTTGTGGTTATACGTTTGCTTTCAGTTGAGAAATGTAGATTTGTGTTAGGCTACTTTTGGTGTTACCGCATTGCCTGCCAGCTTTATTAAATGAGATAAATTTCAATCTTTCCAGGCGTCTTTTTTTCATAAATCTCAACCAACGTAATCTTAAATATAAATTATATAACACATTGAGAGTCATTTGCAAAAATTTGTCTGTTCTGTCTATTAGTTAATCTTTCTATCGAATTCTGTAAATCTTCTCTTTAACATTGATATTGTCTTGCCGATGGCCGGACAGAGGTTATCAAATGTTGTGCCTGCGACGCAACAAGATCAGTTCAACGGCGTTCATAGATATTATTAGTGCACCCACATTTGGCGAATTTTGCACAAACGCACATTTAAGCTTCAAGGAACATTAGAAAAGCAACAAAGGCGAATGGCCATTGCGAACGTAGATGATTCACCCGAAATGCTGGCATTACCCCGTAGAGTTTGCGATTTATATTCATTGGATTTATTTCTATAGCGTTCTTCGTTCAGCAAGAATGCTGTAGTTGAAAAACTAAATACGGAATTACGAAAAGTAATAAACTAAAAGAGCCTGTGCGCACAAAAACTAATAAAAAATTTCATCCTTGTGCGGAGGACTGTAGACCTAGTCGCGGTGTACGGTCATTCGAGTGATATTATTTTATATGTATTATTATAATGGATCATACTTTTATTTTCGATAAAGATTTTTTTTTTTTTTGGTTTTGGTACAATGATGTACTCGACTCTTCAATTGTCTGTGATCATTAACGTGTAGAATATGGAACACATAAACACATAAGCATATAAACGCATTCTAAAGTATTTATAATCAGTTTTTTAGTTATCGAAAGTAACTGATTCAGTATATCCTTTATATTCGTAAATCTTTAGCATTGTAAAGTGCTGCTCATGACTTTCTGTTTATGCTTGGAGTCTTTTCTTAAGCTATTGATATTTCAAGGACCACAATATTGTTAAACTGCATTTTTTCAATTTTTTTTTTTTTTGGGGTGTATCCTTGAGATTTCCGAACTTAAGCTGACGGAAGTGAAATAATTTAAGATCAAGTTATGATTATCAGCATTTGGCATATCTATATTGTGCACTGCTGAAATATGGATATGGATGTACGTATTTTGCATGGTCAAGTTTCCAATATTTATGTGTTTTGCATTCCAGCTAATGATTTTTATACCTTATATGACTACTCTTTAGTGTGTCACTGATTTAAAAAAATTTTTGTTGTTTTTATCAGCCGAACCTCACGAGGATTACAACAATTATCACAAAAACATTCGAGAAAATAATCAAATGCCATACAGCAGCTACAAGGGTATAAAGCAGGAACCGCAACACCTTCAACAACAACAACGGCAGCAGCACCAAAATCAACATCAACATCTCCAGTTGCAGCAACAACATCAGCTGCCGCTACCAAGATCGACTCCACCCAATGATTATAATTTAGGAAATGAAGACAGTGACTTAAACAGTAAACTAGATATGAAGGTAGAAAGATTGTTGTTATTATTATTAGTATTGCTATCGTTTCCTAAGTTCTTATTTTGGCGTCTCTTATAATTAGCCTTTAAATTTTCCACGTCGCAAAGTGCAAACAGAACGTTCCTTGACTCTGCCCATATGTCAACGGTGCAAACAAGTTTTCTTAAAGCGACAGAACTACACGCATCATGTTGCTTTATCAGTGTGCGACATTGTTGAATATGATTTAAAATGTTCCATCTGCCCGATGTCGTTTATGTCCAATGAGGAGTTGAACGCGCACGAACATTTGCATCGTTTAAATCATTATTTTTGCCAAAAATACTGTGGAAAACATTATGAGACAATATTGGAATGCGAACAACACGAGTACACGCAACACGACTACGAATCATACAAATGCAATGTTAGTTTGTTATTATTATATATTTCTTAACCCATTCGTTTGATATAATGATATTTCAAACTTCTTCTCCTAGATTTGTTTGTTAGAGTTTTCGTTACGTGAAGAATTGCTTCAACATATACCGTTGCATAAATATCAAATTCGCTTTGTTTGTTCGGTGTGTCGTGAATGGTTTCAAATTTTGCCAGAATTACATGATCATTGCGTGGCGGCGCCCAACCTTTGTGGGAAGTTTTACAATAAAGATGGTAAGCTACCAAGTAGTAAAAGCAACCGAAATCGAAAACGCTTTATAATAATCGCACTGTAATCTTTTCAGCTGTTAACAAAAACCAAAATAACGATTCTTTGCATAGCGAATCGTCTAAACCAAGAAAAAGTTCAATTTGCAGCAAAAATCCCATCGAGACAAGCACGCAAAAAGGTAACTCGCCTTTCACACTTTCTGTCTTATTTAGAACACGCAACATTCTTCCATATTCTGCTTTTTAGATTCTCAATCAAATAACGCTAATCGAGGTTTTATCAGCTTGCCTGAAGAACAAGAGGTAAAAACTGAAATTAAGGTTGAACCAGATTTCTATCCACCTCTAGAGCAAGGAGATTTCGAACGGTTCGATGGTGACTACAACTCCGAGAATTTTTCTTCAACCTCGTCAATGAGCAATCAAAATCTGAACTTTTTGCATGATTTTCAAGATAACGCGTCGAGTAGCACCAATTCTTCGTACACTATGCCGCCTGCGAATAATGAAGCAGTTGCTGGTGATGAAGATGCTGTATGTTGCGTGCGTTTGTGCGGGGTAAGCAAATTCAGAAGTCCGACGCTACAGTTTTTTGGTTTTCCCCGCGACAACAAGTATCTGCAACAATGGTTACATAATTTAAAAATGCCTTACGATCATCAGGCCAATTACACGCAATATCGCATTTGTAGTTTACATTTTCCAAAAAGATGTATGAATCGTTACTCTCTAAGTTATTGGGCAGTGCCAACATTTAATTTGGGCCATGATGACGTAGCGAATATATACCAAAATCGTGAAATTAGTCATAGTATTGCCATCGGCGAGATGTCTCAGTGCTATATGCCGGGTTGTCGATCGCAGCGTGGCGAAAGTAATGTGAAATTTTATAATTTTCCGAAGGATTTAAAAACTTTGATAAAATGGTGTCAAAATGCCCGATTACCTGTGCACGCTAAAGAACCGCGGCATTTTTGTTCACGACACTTTGAAGAGAAATGTTTTGGTAAATTTCGTTTAAAACCGTGGGCTATACCTACTTTACATTTAGGCACTGTATACGGAAAAATTCATGACAATCCTAATGTTTCGTATTTGGAGGAAAAAAAATGTTGTTTGCCATTTTGCAGGAAAAGTCGTTCAGATGATTTTAACTTATCTCTTTATCGTTTTCCTCGCGATGAAACCTTGCTGCGTAAATGGTGTTATAATTTACGTTTGCATCCAGATGTTTATCGTGGTAAAAATCAGAAAATCTGTTCTCACCATTTTATTAAGGAAGCGTTGGGGTTGCGTAAACTATCTCCGGGCGCAGTTCCAACGTTGAATTTGGGACACAATGACCGTGTGAATATCTATGAAAACGAATTATTATCCGCTCCTGTTAACCCTGCTCCAAATTCCTTCATTAAAATGTCTAAATATCATCATTCTTCCCATTCCAGTTCTTCCTCTTCCATTTACGATGAAGTTTTCACTAACAATTGCTCTTCATCGGCAAAGTTTACTTCTTCTTCCACACCAAATTCAAATGCTCTAGACCTGGGTGATATGTGTTTAGTACCATCATGTAAGAATACCCGGCACACTGAAAATATTACTTTGCATACTATACCTCGACGACCGGAACAATTGAAAAAATGGTGTCATAACCTCAAAATGAACTTGGAAAAGCATCACAAAAGTATACGCATTTGTAGCGCTCATTTTGAAAGCTACTGCATTGGCGGATGCATGAGGCCTTTTGCTGTGCCTACTTTAGAGTTAGGTCATGATGATTCTAACATATATCGCAATCCAGACGTCATCAAAAAGTTGAATATACGGGAGACTTGTTGTGTACCCTGTTGTAAACGCAATCGTGATCGCGACCATGCCAACTTGCACCGTTTCCCTACTAACCCTGAATTATTACAAAAATGGTGTGAAAATTTGCAGAAACCTATACCTGATGGTACAAAGCTGTTTAATGATGCCGTTTGCGAGGTTCACTTCGAAGACAAATGCTTACGTAATAAACGTTTAGAAAAATGGGCTGTACCTACTCTGAAATTGGGATACGAACCTATAATTCATCAATTACCTTCAGAACAGGAGATAATGGAATTCTGGTCTAAGCCACCCGCTCCTAACAACGGCGATGAGCTAGGCGAATGTTGCGTATCTACTTGCAAAAGAAATCCGCAAGTGGATGACGTTAGATTATACCGACCGCCCGAGGACGCTGAGCAGCTAGTTAAATGGTCTCACAACTTGCAAATAGAAGTGACGGAATTATCTTCTTTGAAAATATGTAACCTTCACTTTGAGTCGCATTGCATAGGTAAACGATTACTTAACTGGGCCATGCCTACACTGAATTTGGCTTCTAACGTCGAGCATTTGTTTGAAAATCCGCCTCCCACCTCGTCTAGTTATAAAAGAAAAGTGAAAATCGAATGTCAGAAGCCTCAGGAATTCACTAAATGGTCACCGCGCTGCTGTTTATCGCACTGCCGTAAAACTCGCAATCACGATCAGATACAACTATATAGATTTCCTGTTAATATTCATACCTTAACGAAATGGTGCCATAATCTTCAACTGCCTACAGTGGGTAGTTCTCATCGTCGTATTTGTTCAGCTCATTTTGAAGCAGCAGTGCTTACAAAACGTTGCCCTATAGCTTTTGCAGTGCCCACGCAAGATCTTAACACACCCTTAGGTTACAAAATCTATCAAAATTCTCCAAAACTTAAGCAACACAGGATTATTAATCAGCGATGTTGTGTAGTGAATACATGTCGTAAAACCCGTTCTGATGGTGTCCAACTGTTTCGTTTTCCCAATAATCGCGTCATGCTGAACAAATGGCGTCATAATCTTAAGCATCTTCCAAAAGGTAAATTAAGTTCGCAATTCCGCATTTGTTCATTGCATTTCGAAAAACATTCAGTAGGCTTGAAACGCCTATCACCTGGTGCCATTCCCACACTAAATTTAGGGCACGATAATTCTGAAGATTTATATCCGAATGAAACTAGATCGTTCTTTGAACTGGATAAGTGTGTTGTAACGGGCTGTTCGTCTAGCAAAGACATGGAAAATGTTCGTCTTTTTAAATTTCCTCGAGAGGACGAAGAATTGCTGGGGAAATGGTGTCATAACCTAAAAATGAATATCTCGGAATGCCTAGGCATAAAAATATGCAATAAGCATTTTGAAGCAGAATGTATGGGTCCCAAACTATTATACAAATGGTCTATTCCAACCTTAAACTTGGGTTACGAGGAAAATGAAACATTGGAAATTATACCTAATCCTCCGCCAGAAAAACGCTCGGGAGATGTTTTGTTTAAATGTTGTGTTTTTAGTTGCGGTAAAACACGAAAGTACGACGACGCCCAAATGAATAGTTTTCCTAAAAACATAAAAATGTTTCGGCGATGGAAACATAACCTCAAACTGGATTATTTAAATTTCAAGGAACGAGAGAAATTTAAGATTTGCAACGATCACTTCGAGCCCATATGTGTAGGAAAGACTCGATTGAATTTTGGGGCCATACCTACGTTGAACTTAGGTCATGATGATGTAGACGATTTGTACAAAATAAATCCAGATAAAGTGAAACCTAATTTATTTATAAAGCAATCAACGTACGAGGAAGATCCGCTCGAAATTGGTTACCCGAATGACAACTTGGTAGGAGAAGACATAGAGGAGCACATGGAGTCTTCCAGCTTATCATTGGATATATCCAATCTAAAATGTGCGTATATCGAATGCAAAGGCCCGAAGTGTTTGTTGCGTGAACCGTATAGTTTACCACAAACTGACGTGTTTAGAAACATGTGGTTTTCTCTAATGGATTTACAAGAAAGCTTTGCTTACGGAGAAAGCAAACTGTGCGGCCTACATTACCAAAAAGTCTTCGAAAATTGCAAAGAAAAAATGTTCGCTTTAACTTTAGAAAATGACGAATTAAAAGAGGATTTCGAAAAACTTCAGAATGCTTATCACAAGTCGGAGATTTCCTTAATTATCAAGAGCTGTAAATGCAGTAGTGAAGAGTGCACTAACTCTTTAATTTTACCTAATATCAGACTCTACCAATTTCCATACGGCAAAGAGCTTAAGGAAAAGTGGTCCTATAATACCGGCATAGAGCCAGATGAACATCGTCGCTATCTAAATAAAGTATGTTGTATGCATTTCGAATCATACTGTTTCACGTCAAATCAACGTTTGCGGTCGTGGGCTGTACCTACTTTAGAACTAAATCATTCACAACAAGATACGTTGCACAAGAATCCCGACCTAACGAAAATCGATCGTCGTTTGTTGGGTCCTTCAATTATGAAGTGTTGCGTTCGTGCCTGCAGTGGAGCAAATACCATAGAAGGTGAATCTTTGAAGCTGTTTAGTTTTCCATTGGATGAAGATTTACTAAAGAAATGGTGTGAGAACCTAAATATGTCTTCAGAACAAACCCCAATATTCAAAGTCTGTTCTTTACATTTTGAGAGGCAATGTTACGGCTTAACACGCTTACGTGTGGGGGCCATACCCACCTTACATCTTGGCCATGCTAGTGAACCTCGGCACTGCATTCCAAACAACACTAAAAAGGAAATGTATGATTTGGAATCCACTCATAATACTTTGAAACAGGTGAAAATAAAAAAATCTTTAGGATCAGTAAAATGTTTTATACCTTCGTGTCGTCGTACACGTTTGCAGCACGGCGTACGTTTTTATACCTTACCTTCTAATTCCAAATTGCGACGTAAATGGTGTCACAATCTGCGTTTGTCTCTAAATCTAGGCAAACTGCAGAGTTTGCGCATTTGTAGCTTACATTTTCACAAGAAATGTTTAGATGGTCGCAATTTAAAGCCTTGGGCTGTGCCTACCTTGCATCTTGGACATCAAGAAGCTATTTTTGATAATCCTCGTACTTTGTATGGCCAATATGTACCACAGTGTGCTCTGTGGCACTGCCGAAATCAAAGGGTTTTGAACAAAAGCAGGCGTTTCTTTACTTTTCCGAAGAGCGCTGATCTTTTGGAAAAGTGGTGTAAAAATTTAAAATTTTCCTTTGATCAATGTAATGGATGTTTGTGTGAAAGACATTTTGAAACTGAAGTCATGAGTTTAAAAAATCTGAAGAAAGGTAGTGTACCCACTCTGAATCTAGGTCACTCGGAAGCGTTGGAATTTAATAATTTAAATTTAATTGAAGAGATGAAAAATGCAAATATTTTTGATATGGAAGAAGAAGACGGAGAAGACTGTTTTTACAGAGAATTTAAAGAAAGTGAAGAGTTCGATTTGGAATCGGAAAGCTTGAGAACTCCGACTAATTGGAGCAATTTAGAAGTGAAAGAATTACGCATCACACTAACTCCTCTAAAACGCGAAGATTTGCCTGAGATTATGTCGGTGGCATCTCCTTTAGAACTGGAAGAAGAGGAAAATTATATTACTTGCAATGAATCAAGAGAAGAGGATACTTCGGAACAAAGACAAATATTGCGCAAAGACAAGGCGGTGAACAATTTCAATCCCATATGTTGCTTGAAACATTGCGGGAAAGAGAAGACACCTGAACAACATTTGACGACTTTCGGTTTTCCTAAGGATCGTGATCTTTTACAAAAATGGTGCGATAATTTAGGATTAGAACCTTCTGAATGTATAGGCCGTGTGTGTGTCGACCATTTTGAGCTACGTGTCATGGGCAATAGACGTTTAAAACCGGGGGCTGTCCCAACTTTAAATTTGGGGCACAATAAACCTTTAATACACACCAATGAACCTATCAAGGCAAAAGTTATGCACGACGAACTTAAGTTCATAGAAGGCAATGAAGAAGAAAAGCAAGTTAGCCAAATTGTAAAGCCGGCTCCACCACCTTACAAGACTAAGCCAGCTAAGCAATCGGTTTTTCGGCTATGTTGCCTCAAACATTGCCGACGCAAGAGAATGCAAGGAAAGGTGGGAGTGGCAACATTAACATTTAAAATACCTCGAAATTTAAAACGATTGAAGCAGTGGTCAGCAGCGCTTAAATTACCAGAAGAAGTTTGTAGGCGACCGAGGATGCTTTTATGTGCTCAGCATTTCGAACCACATATGATTAACGAGGAAAAAGCCCAACTGAAGTCCAACGCAGTACCCACCCTAAACTTAGGATACGAGCCAAATAAATCTGAAGCACGCAATGGGACGTTGGACCTAGAAAAATGCGATCTGAGTCATTGCGGTCGGGTCGCCGACAATGATGACGTGTTTTTGTTATGTTTTCCATTCAAACCTTTGGTTTTATTGCGCAAATGGTGTTACAATACAAGAATATCTTACAAGACTAAAAACTTGAAATTCCTGAAAATTTGTAATGACCATTTTGAAAAACAAGTTTTTTTAAAAAAAAAATGTCTTCGCTTCAATGCAGTGCCCACGTTAAATTTGGGTCATCCAGGAAAAATTTATAAGAATCCTAAATCCTATAGGTTAAAAACTTTACTTAAGCCAAGGGAAAAATGCTGCGTAATCAATTGTCAAGAAGAACAGAAGAAGATGTATGGGTTCCCAAAAAGCTCTGAGCTTCGTCGCATATGGTCCAACAATTTGCGTATTGAAACCCGCGTGGCCTTGAAGCAACAATTCAAAGTTTGCCAACGTCATTTTGCAAGCGAAAGCTTTATAAATGGAACGGATTGCTTAAAGATAGAAGCGATACCTATCTTGGAGCTAGGTGATGATAAAGACCACCACTTGGTTTTAGAGATGGACGCAACGGCACAGAGCAGCCGCCAATGTATGGTTAGAAATTGTGGTTGCATACCCAGTGTGGATAAAGTGAAACTGTTTAGCTTTCCTCAGCCCGGAGAAATTTTGGAAAAATGGCTTTTCAATCTACAATTATCTGCGAAATATGCCGTCGAAAACACCTATATATGTAGCCGACATTTTGAAAAGAGCTGTATACGTCGAGGAATTTTGCATGAAATGGCGATACCTACACTGTGTTTAGGGCATGCCGATTGCTTTTATGGCAACGAGGAAGAAATGTTTACAACTCCTATAAAATGTTGCGTAACGAGTTGTAATTACAATCCGGCAGAAGATGAGTCGGAAATTTTGCGTAGCATGTATCGCTTTCCCAAAGATGCAGAAAACTTAAAAAAATGGTTAGATAATTTAAATATGAGCGATACTGTATACCAGAAACAAAAAAGTGCAAGGATTTGCGGACATCATTTTGAGGATGTTTGCAAGCTGAAGGGTCGAGAGACGCTATTACCTAATTCGATGCCTACTATGAATTTGGGTTATGAAAGCAAGGTGAAAAATATGCATCGAAATCACTTTGAAAAGTGCTGTTTGCAATCATGCAAGATGAGAGAGAAATTCTCTGTGAGCTTACATGATCTACCGCAAGACCTAAATATACGCTCTCTTTGGTTTGAAGAACTTGCTTTGGAGGATAGAATAAATACGGAAAATTTTATTTGCTCCCCACATTTTATGGCTATATTTGAAAGACTGAAAGAGAAACATAAGACGTACTTGAAGCAGTATTTAGAATATGGTCTGCTATCAACTTCGTACAAAGAACTGAAACAGTTAGACTTAATGCAAGGCTTTAAATGTTCTATTCCCAAGTGCTCGACAGGGTTTAAGATGACTGCCAAGCTTTTCAAATTTCCCAACGATGTTAATCTTTTCAATAAATGGCAACACAATACCGGATTACAATTTGAAATGAATAAGCGCTGCCTACATCAAATATGTGCCCTTCACTTTGAGCCCAGGTGTCTGAGTGAAGTGAAATTACACCGTTGGGCGCTCCCTACGCTAAAGTTACCCAACATCAACAGTTTGTATGTCAATCCTCCCGAAGCTTTGCCTTCCGATCACGAAAACCTTAAACATTGTTGTGTTTCCGATTGCATTTCAGAGGAAATGCCATTCTTTCAGTTTCCTTCCAAGCAGACTAATCTCAGAAAATGGATACACAATTTGGACTTGGGGCCACAGCAGTGTACCACAAATTTGCGTGTCTGTTTTAAGCATTTCGAGAAATATTGTTTTAAAAAGGAAATGAGCAACAAACAACTGACGTTAAAATCATGGTCTATACCTACTTTAAGACTAAAACGAAAATTGGACTTATATCAAAATCCGGTCGAGAAAATAAGTTTCTTCGTATGCTGCATTCCGACTTGCCGCAAAGTACGGAATCCCTCTGAGGGCATATATTTCTACAAATTTCCACGAAGCAAAACCTTATCGAAAAAATGGTTATATAACGCGGGAATAGATGCGGAAAGTTTTCATGAACGTATGCGAATTTGCAGTTTGCACTTTACTTCCGATTGCTTTGTAAAGGATTGCATGATCCTTCGTAAGCACACAGTACCCACTCTAAATTTGTCAACGCCTATTGAGTTCTTGCATAAAAATCCTCCGAAAAAAAAATTTGGTAGCTTCGGGCTAACGCACTGCTTAGTAAAATCTTGCAATGTAATGGAATTAAAGGACAAAGAGTTACACGACTTGCCTAAAAATAAAACTGTGTTAAGTAAATGGTGGCATAATTTGGATTTGGATATGCATAATGACGCGACATTGGCAGATAAAAGTATGAAAATATGTAAAATGCATTTCACTGACGAATGTTTTGATAAAAAGGGTGAATTAAAGTTGAAATCGATTCCCACCTTAAAATTGGGTCATGATAAAAAAATTTTTCAAAATTTTGACGAAGCGATCGGCGTTGATAGACTACTGAAAAGTGGGATTATTGAGGTCGACGATAGTTCAAAATCGAAGAAAGAGACAAAATGTTTCGATTTGCATGCGGAGAAATATGTTAAAGACGATCCTTTAAAAGGGTCAAAGCTTTTCAAAACTGCTATTAGAAACAGCAAATCACATTTAGCCCCAATAGGACAAACTAAAATCAATCGGATACAAAGAGTTTATAATAAGAAAAAGTCCAAACAGTTGATCTACAAATATGAACGATATCGAGACCAGTTTGAAAACACAGCACACGTTGTTAGGAAAAATATTAAGTCAGAAAATAGCCGCGCTCTTGGCAAACTTATTAAGAATACTCGAATAGCAAATCGCGCGAAGTGTTCTATACAAAATTGTTTAGAGCTGGAAAAAAACCCCAAGCTACAAGTTTTTAGCTGTCCACATAAAACTGATCTGCTAGAAAAATGGTTAGAGAGTATTGGAGAAAATGTAAAAAATAAAGTACAGTTATTAAAAAAATATAAAATTTGCTCCTCACACTTTGAAAACCAATGCTTTCAAGATCAGCGTTTATTGTACGGGGCTATTCCTACTGTAAACTTAGTGAATAAAAATATTAAAAAAAATTTGTGCTCGGAGTATTTGAAAGCTTATGAGTGCGAACGCTGTTTTGTGAAGAAATGTGGACGTTCAGACGAGTATGATCAAATAATCAAATGCTATTTTCCTAAAGAGAAGGATTTATTAGAGAAATGGCTCTTTAACTTGAATATAAGACGAGAAGAGATAGCCGTACATAAGTGGCTTTGTCATATGCATTTTGAGCAAAGATGTTTGAAGCAAAGAAAACTTCTACCAGACACAGTACCCACCTTATTGTTGGATTATGAATCCAGTAGCAAGAGTGGTTTCTTCAGAAATCCTGAAGTATGCTCTGCCACCAGGAAATGCCGACAAATGCTTTTAAACGCATGTTGCGTAAACGGCTGTCAGAATGCTAAAGGAGGGAATCCCTTTGTACAGTTAAGTCAGTTTCCAAAACAATCTCAACTTTTTCGAAAGTGGCTGCATAATTTAAAAATCATTGATTCTAACGAAGTACGGCAATACTATCGTATTTGTACCCTACACTTTGAGTTGAAGTGTTTCAATAAGTTTTCTTTAAAGTTAGGCTCGATACCTACAAGGAACTTGGGCCATCGCGACCCTGATATATACGAAATGTTGGATGAGGAATTGCACGATAATCAAATAAAAAAATCCAAACTTTACAATAAGAAATGCTCATACCCCTGTTGCAAAGGTAATAAGACTAAACTCTATGACTTACCGCAATTTAAGGTCATACTTGAAAAATGGTGGCAAACTATGCAATTGTCTTCATTTAGCGAACGAAATCAGGCGAAAGTGTGTGATATACATTTTTACATGCTGTATAATGAGCACTATGAGGTTATAAAACAGATGGAACATGAAGATCCCGGTAGCGTTAAAGACTTGATAAACCTTTATCATAACATAGCCGCAAGAGGCAAAGTCATACGTCATAGATGTGCTGTGCCGGACTGTAATACGGATCATTTAAATAGATGCAATTCTGGTGTAAAATTATATAATTTTCCTACTGATTCAGGACGGGCCAAAAAATGGTGTTTCAACTGCCATTTGAGTTATGAAGGGAAAATTAAAGATGACCATGACCACAATTATAAAGTATGTGCTCTGCATTTTGAGGAGTATTGCATTAACGACACCAAATTGCAATCTTGGGCAATACCCACTTTGCAACTAAGGTCATCAAAGCTCTACATCAATAATACATCAATTGAGAATACTTTTTACGATATTGACAGATGTTGCATTGGGTCATGCATTAACTCCCAAGGTCTAAGAACCAATACGTGTTTTTATGATTTCCCACAAGAACGAGTCATACGCGACAAGTGGTTACAACGCACAAATCTGAAGAATTTTAATTTTCAAAAGATGCGCATATGTGGATTACATTTTGCAAAAAAATTTCTGCGCGACGATAACCAACTATTACCCTTAGCCTTACCCACCTTAAATTTGGAATTAACAGATTCAACTATTAAAACACATGAAAATACTTACGATACTAGTTCTAAATTACAGCACATTGAAACCGCGGTAACTGTTAAACAGGAAGTTGAAAGCTGGGAGGATTGGTTACCATCCGATCCTTTCAACACCCCATTCCACGAGTCTTCCAATAAAATTGAAAATAGTGCCGATAGTTATTTTCTTGAGCCTCCTCCGCAATGTGAAATTATTACTGTTAAAGAAGAAATCATCGATGTTGACTACGAGATGAAATCGGAATGTTCTAGTGGCATCGAATACTATGCGGAGAAACACTTTATGAAACCTCGAATTGTGGCCTGTTATTCTCAAAATTTGCGTGTTCATGATTTCGCTAAGAAAGAATTGATGTTAGAAGAGTTGCAAAGCGAAAATTATGCGGATGCAAAATTAAGAATATTGAACTCATCTGAAGACTCTCAAAATCAGATAAATGAGAACAGTGGTGCAATAAGTTTTCAGACCTTAAAGTTGCCTTTGAAACTTTCTCTACCCATATCTACAGTAAACGAGAAAAGCCATATATTAACAGATAGAGAGAAAATTGTTGCACAAAGTTCTGTGAATAGCTGTCACCTTTCGCAGAAATTCAGCTTTAAAATGATGCACGGAGACTTACAAAACAAAGCCTACGACCAAATCAATTCAGATTTCTCAATAATGGGAAAAATGGAAGAAAGAGAATTTCCTCAAAATAAGAACGGAGGTACGGACGCGAAAGATAATCAAGTCGTAGAGAAGTCTTTAGAAAAAAAGACCAGTGCTCAAAATGCGACTAATAACATGGAAGGAAACAAAAGTTGTAAAAATGAAGACTCTTCTGAAAATTCACCAATCGCAAGCTATTATTTATCTCCAACAGAGATAAGTGAGAGCATTGATAGACAAAGTTTTTGTACATCTCCGATTATTGCGGTTGATGTTCTTTCGAAAGGTTTATCTCAAACTTGCTGTGTAGCCAAGTGTTTAAATACCGCTGACGCACCATTGGTAAAAATTTTCACTAAATTCCCTTCCGATTCAGAGCTTTTTATCAAATGGTGTTTTAATTTAAAAATTGACCCACGCCATTTTCGGGAACATTCTTACGCGGTTTGTAGCACACATTTTGATCCGTTATGTCTTCAGGACAATCGTTCGCTGCACCCTTGGGCGGTTCCCACTTTAAATCTAGGTCTTCCTCGCAACTCTTTTATACATCAGTACGAACTACCCATTAGTTATAAAACCTCAGAGGAATGCATAGTTTGGGGCTGCAATCAAGCAAAGCCGCCGCTTTACAAATTCCCCGCCAGTCCAGAGCAATCGAAACGATGGTTTTCAAATTTAAAATTAGAATATACAGAATTTCGAGCACAGACTTATCGCATCTGCAGGAAACATTTTGAAAATCATTTCATCGATGCGTCCGAGCAGCTAAAAAGCGAATCTTTGCCTACTTTGCAATTAAATATAAACGATAGTGAGGATCTTCCTAATAATAACAATGCAGACATAATGCATCCTTTGGTCTCCTCGCCTGAAGACTTAGAGGATCATGATAGTAGTTACTATGAAGATTTTGAAGAGTGTATCAACCATGAGGAGGAGAAAAATTGATTAAATCAAAATCAAATGCAATTTCATTAAATTAAAAATTAAAATATATTAATTAATCATATTCGAACGTAACAATTATATCATCATTTTACACCTTCTCAAGTTGTAAATCAAAACTTGTAAATTGAAAAACCCGGATCCGGAAACGGATCTGACTCCACTTTCTCCGGACATTATAATTTACATTCATCTACATCGCTTATTATTATATCTTATTTATATATGGGATGTCGAAGAATACTAGCAATCCAGCATACTACTTTCATATGCAAGCAATTAACCTCCTTTTGAAGACTCATTCCAACCAGAATATAATATTCATATATGTCTTCGAATAGATTTTTTTTTGAACCTTAATTTGCTTCAAATTTGATTATGCTGCGTTGGTTTGTAAATTACGATTTTCAATTTACAAAATACCATTTTCATCGCACTTGGATGACAAGTTGGTACAAGCGATTATGATTTACAACGAGGAAGAAGGAATGGTGTTTTATGTAAAAGTTTAAAATATAGACTTATATAGAATATATAGCAGTGAACACATTCGAGGACATGTGTTTTAGGAAAAATGCTAAAAAAAAATTATATTACACACATACAATAATTTCTCGGAAAATTTTAACACGTCTCACACAGCACCTTTTAAGAAAAACATTTTTTTTTTTTATTTCTTTCTTGCTTTTTCTTTTCTTCCTCATTTTAATTCTATTATTTAGTTAAAATGTTATTCTTTTCCTTCCATTGATTTTAATTTGAAATGAAATAACGAATGCAATAGTGTAGATGAGCAATATTTTATTAAATGCAAAAAGAGCCGTTTTTAAATGGCCGCAGCTCCACGATTTTGAAGTGTTACTAAGATGGTTGATTTGCAGCACTTTGTGATGTCTTTGGCTCTTTACTTTTCTAACATTCAAAATGTTACATACAAAATATATATTTACTGCCTAGGGCGCCTAGAACAGACTCTGTCCCCCTTTAACGCTTTTCTTTGTAGCCTTTCTAACCGTGATAGGGCTTGCATGTCTAAAAGACATTTTCTGCACGATTGGTTACAAAAAAAAAGAAACAAAAAAAAGAAAGGCTTTATTTTGCTTTTGTGTCACGCTGTCTGCAGACATCCCTTAGCTGTAACCGCAAAAATTCGTTGAGCTACCTTTTGTAACTCATCCCTTAAGATGTTAGATCTCTCTTGAAAGCGTTCACTGCACACTCTTGTTTTTTTTTTCTTTTTATAAATTCAAGTTTCATATCTAATTAAATGAAAGTTATTTTATAAATTTTCTTTTAAATGCGAACAGGTATGTTGTAAAATTTACAATTATTTTAATTAAAATCCATTTTATGAAATATCTTAAAATATATTTAGCTGTAAGTGTTTGATGTCGTGAAAAATTCCATGTTTGACTAGGAGGAAGCTTCGTTTAAGATTAAAATCTTTACATTTTTATTTCGTTTTAATTACATTTAATTTGTCCTACGTTATGTCATATGAAAAAAAAATGTTTTTAATTTTAGTACCACAAAACGGACCTTTTTTTTAAGTTAAAGCGCACCAATATGGCATTTCTCATATTCCATGTTTTGGCATATTTTCGCTAGTAGTGGCTTGGAATTTTTCCTCGAAATAATAAAATTCAAATATTAAAAAAAATAAATCAATAGAAAGTTAGTATTAAAGATTCGAAAGAACGTGTTTGTTTCCATAAATTAATAAAGAATCAAATATATTTATTACTATCATTTAATAACACAAGAAAATATACATTTTTTGAAACAAATATATAAGAGAATAAAAATATACACATACAAATAAATATAATAAATATTAAGGAATGTAAGAAAAAATTTGTTTTAAATGGACATCAAGGCAAGTGGAGTTTTTGATTTTTATATTCGTATTGGAAACGATTACTTTATCACATTGTTTGATTGTAATATTTCGGTCAACTTGCATGTACAGAGCTCTGCAAATAAATTGAAAAATTTACCAAATATATTGAAAACAACGTGTTAAAATGCAGGGACCACGATCATAGCAACGCAACGAATGCCTATCAATTAAACTCGTCATTGCTCGTCATTCTCTTCATCTACAATTCAAAATTAACTTGAAACAGAAATTCGACGGACAAGGCTAAATTCTTAATATTAATTTTGATATTCAATTTAAGATTTTGATGATGCACGTCTAAAATCCTTCCTTTATGTGTATACACTTTTTTTACGAATAATTGCAAGTTTTTTCTAAATTTGAGATTTTGGTTTTCCTGATTTCCGGAATGTTGAAGCATTGAAATTTGTAAGAACAGCATACCTTCCTATTATCACGTAATTCAAAGCTCTCCTTCTGTTTTAGATAATTAAATATCCTACGCTTATGTCGGATATTTGTTAAGGAAAAATGTTGACATTAAATATAGGTAAGGCTGGATTTCAGTGTGCGGAGGTTTTTGAATCACGGCGCAAGTGCTTTCCAACTTCTACCAGAAAAACATAATTTTTTTCCATTTAAAGGTGTGCTGTCAATTTACAAAACAATTGCCAGTACATCCCCCATGAATACGTAGAAAATTCTTGCGTTGCAGTAAACTACAGTTATAAAATAATTGTGAAATTATGAAAGTTGAAAGTTTCTCTTTGAATATTTATGTATACTGGCCGGGCCAGATGCTAATTCTAGTGTTCAGTCGAAGACAAGCCGGCAATTGCTTTGTGAGAAAATAAACTATGTTTTCTGGTCTAGACGTCTTAATATTACCCAGCCTAAGATATAAGGAGCAAGCTGAAAATGACGCTGTTCGTACTAATAATAATAATGTGATAATAATGTAATATTGTAATAATAACGGTGATTGGTCATTTTTTCGTAGAGTATGTTAGGCAAAGGGTTCAAATTATGATCGCGCTGGCTTAGGAACTTAAGTCGAGCGAGTTCAACAAACTGAGCATAAATGCTTAACGTATAGAGCTTCAAACGCTTTAAAAAAGTGCGCGATCATTTTCATCTCACTATCACTTCCGCGTAACAAGGAAAGCTTCCGCTCAATTCAAACTTGACGCAGAGGCAACTTTAAATTTAATAGTACACACCGAAATTGGCTGCTTTCCTTTTTATACCCACCATTGTAAGATGGGGACCCTATGAAGTGTAATCAGTGTAAAATTCTCAGTTGATTTAGCCGCGTGTCAGTCTGTGTGTCTGTATGGTGTGTGTTGTTGGCATTCTCCTGGCCGCAAAAATGAAGATAACGACTCCAAGTTTAACAAAAACACCAAAAGTTTCTGCAGGCAGGTTGATATTGAAAACGGGCCAAATCGGTTGTAGCGAAAGCGCATAGTGGAGCGTAAGGGAGCGACAGGAAATATTGAATTGAAATTCCTTAATTTTTTAATATTTTTAATATGTTCTCCAATGTTGTAATCCATATCCTCTTGTACACTACTGAAAGGATTTTCCTTTTCATCGGAACTTTTATTCTAACTTTTTCCTTTCCAATGTCGCCAATAGCTTCATCTTTATTTGTGCAAAACGTGACGATATTTCCGAATTTTCATCACAACACTTTGGGTAGTAAACGTTCCTTTGAAATCTTTCGATCCTCATTAAGAAGCACATTTTTAATGTTTCGAATATCAGTCTTTGCACACATCTTACGCCATAGCTGCCATTTACCAGTTTTCGCCTCCTTTTTCCCGGACTATGGACTACCAGGCGGAGATTGCATTTTATAATTTAGTTAATTTAAATTAAAAACTATTCTTTAATTGATATTTTGTTTTACATTAGAAATCTATCTCTAACTCTAGCGGAGCAATATCCGTGTGCGTTAACATAAGCAAATTTTCAATTGGAACTAGTGCTTAGACACAGGCCGCATTCTTTCCGTATTATGGTTGTTCTTGATGTGCGCACCAACACCTCACATGAATAAAATTCACGAGCTCCATTCCTTTAACTTAGTTAACCTACATCTGTAGAAGAATGATTAAAAGCGAGTTCATCAACTCTACATTCGAGTAAGATTACGTGTTAACACATTTTCTATAGTTCTATTCTTCGATTGTATAATTTTGCCGCTTCTTATTTAGATAAATCGTTAAAGCAGTTAATTAAGAAAATCACCCAACAAATCTGAAAAGTAAACTAAAACAAAATAAATACACACGATTTTTATTTTTTGTATTACAATATGATAAAAAAAGGTCACTATAATGTTTGAAAGCTTTCACATCTAATTAATTTTTTTAAGTTAGAACTTAAAATCAGTTCTTCTGATTTTATTAATTGTTATATTGGCTGACGACTGCTGTTGTTGTTGCTCCAGCAATTGCTGCATTAAATCATCAGCATCAAATATTAAAGTATCATCTGTAGAGCTATTAAAACGCGAATTTGGATCATTCGCCACTGTCGTTATTATAGGTAATTGGCGTACAGTGCTGATTGAAGACAGACTATTAGTAAATGCTGTAGTAGTAGTGGGAACATTCGTTGTTGTTGTTAATGTGTTGTTAACGCAAAAAGTTGCATTTGAATCGCTTAAATAATTCTGAAATTGTTTAATAGTTTGTTTGTAATTAATGTCAGCTGATTCCAGGTCTTTTGAGCCTGAATTTGCACCACTATGAAATAAAACATGCGAATTCCTAGAGCTTGCGGTTTCGCTATCATTGCAATTATTGTTACTGGCAGCTGCATTTGAATGCTGTTGTTGATTACTGCCATTGCACCCTAAATCGAAAACATGTTAAAATATTTGTTGAAAAATTTTAGTTTAGGGGATTTTAAATAGAACTCTATTTAAAGTATTTTTTATATATTTTAAAATGAAATAAATTTAAATATTTATTTCAATTTTTCTTTAAAACATATTCTCTTATAATTTAGTCTTAAAAACTATATATAAAGAAATATCGTTATATAATAAAAATAAAAAATTAAAACGTAGAGGAAAACTAAAAATCGAAGAATTAGATATCTTATTCTTAAATAAGGGGAAGATAATAAAAGTATGTGTTTCTGTTTTGTTTTTTTCAAGTTCAAGTCTTACGAATGTCGCCCGAAGAATCATCTTGAAATGCGGAATTGTCGTTAAATAAATTACGATCACATTTGGTGGCCTGCAAGTTTTTTAAATTTAACTGTATAGTGTTTTGCTTTCAGTTTTTATTCCAATTATTGATTACCTCGCGAAACTTATGCAAATATATGGAGAGAGGTTCCACATAATTATCAAAGCCCAAATTGGAAAAGGCGTATAATAGATCATCTCCGTTGACCGTCTTACGATTCTCGGACATACTTCGCTCAATTGCCTCTGAAGTAATGAACGATATAAACTCAGAAACACATTCCTGTATGCATTCACGGGCATCTTTAGCTATTTTACCATTTTCGGGAACGGGAACTTTCATTATCTTGATAATATTGCATATAGGTAGGAAGCGATCCTGTTCACGGAGCATATAATTCTGATTTTGACGGTTATCAGAATCTTCATCTACGGGAGTTTAAAAATATTATTAGAGAAAATTGGGTTTGGTCACTTGTTTCCAAAAACCTACCACCAGAATTGTCCTCGTCGTTCATCAAGTAATCATGAAGATAGGGAATAGAATCGCTTCCAGAAGTCATGTTTAGAGATAAATTATATTCTTTCAAATTTTAATTTTAAAAGTCCTTCACTAAATTTAATAAGAGGTTTTGTATACACAAATCACAGCTGTTTTTTATGCTCCATGCTTGTCAGTTTCGCGAGCCAGTTTACCGAATCGTGCCGTGTCGCAACACATCATTTTGCTTTTCTAAAGACTAAGGTACGTATTACATGTCTTCAATGAATAAAGCAAATGAAGGATAAAAAACACACAGAAAATTTTTTTGATCATTTCTTATTAAAAGAAAGAAGATTATTACATTTAATTCTTAGGATATTTCAAAACGTTCTTTAAGATAAAGTAGCGAAAAATTAGTGCAGTCAGTGAAATAAAACGGAAACGAAACATTTTGAGCCCAGGGATTCGAGACAATTTTAAATGCCTTTTGAGCCAATGACTTCCTGGAAGGAACAACCTGAGTAGTAATAGGCGAGCGCATTAAATGATATATTCTAATATATAGTTGGCAAAACTCAAATTACAGATTTTGAGTACATATAACTTCCTGAAATATGTACGAACGTATTTAAAGATAATTGTATGTGACAAAAGCACTTCACAAAAAATGTTACGCGTTACTCAAATTTATATTACCCTTATCAAAAAAACCAAAAAAAAATGAATTGATTTTTTCTGCTTTAATCTTTTTCATTTTAACGTAAAAGTACGACCTTAAAAAATATTTTACGCTCTTCATCCCCATATTATATTTATTTTCTCTTTTCACTAAAAAAAGCAACCTTGTTTTTCAACAAAATCATTACCAATTCATTAAAGAATTAATAACAACTATGCTTAAAAGAATATTTTTACGTTCTTCACAATTTTCTTTTATGCTGCTCATTGGCTCATTCGTTGACATTTATTTAACAAACGATCTACGTATCATCGTGTTGCTTTCGTTTCTTACGAATAGGTAGTGATTTATAACAGTAATTTATACGCTCGTCTCTGATAGAACCAATAACTAAAATAAATTTTCACGAGAAGTTTATTAACGTGGTAATAACGTTGTGAGCAAAGTGTTTAAATATGTTAACTAACGTTGTGGTGAAAAACGAACCGCTGGATAATAATTTCGAAGATATGATCGCACAACAATCTAATACTAAGCAAGAATTTATTTTTAATGTGGCTAATATTAAAGGCAAGTTTTCTATGCGTCAAAACAATATATTATATGATTTGAATATTTCACTTTGCTTAAATGCTTTATTTAATACTCTCCAATATATATATTTAATTTCAATTAGTTCGCATTTTCGAAGAAATCACGGTAATACGATAATATCATCTTGAATTGACATATAGAGATTTTGAGAAATATTTTGTTGTAAATGAATATGTGTGTAGTGTGTATACAAGCGACGATCAACTCTTTTTCTATTGGTGCAATATTAATAGTGCGCACTTTTCATTTGTCATTTTAATTTACAATTCTCTTTGCCTTTGCAGAGTATCAGCTGTTATTGTTTGCATAGTAATTGATTTGGCAATACATCAAGTCGTTATTTAATCTTTAATAAAGATAAAGTAAAGGCAATGAAGTTAAATAAAACACACTAAATCAATAGCAAAGACAATTGCATTTCTTTCTTACTCACTACAGATTTTGTTTAATTCTATTTTCGACAATTCTGTTTTCCCTGTTAACAGCTGTAAACAAATATTCGTTTATTTATTTGTATCTGGCAATGTGCATGTACAGTTTCCTTTTGTTACATCAAGCGCCGTTATTTCACTTTTTTCGACAAATATGTTGAATAAACACTATTTCAAAAAAAACGCCGGTAACAAATAAATAAATTTTATATTTATAGAATACTTGGCATTTAGCAACATTAATTGCACTTGCTTTTTAATAAGTTTGATGTTTTTGAATTTTTGTATATAGAAGAACTTGATGAAGGCAGCGACATTTCGACGGATGAGTTCAAAACTTTGTGGACCGAACAGAAGCGAAGTGTTGTTATTGACAATAATACCGACGACCTTAGATTGCCTAATCAACTGAAGCAAACGAAGGTAATTCTGAATTATAAATGCGACTGCTTCAGTTATTAAACGATCTCTACAATCTTCGTAGTTCATAGAAAGCAGCGAATCTATAAATGACGGTAAAGAGCAATACTGTTCAGTATGTTCATTTGCGGTCACTGAGAATAATAAGTCTCTATTAAACCACTTAAACCTGCACCGTGATAATTATTTCTTTTGCATGCTTCACTGTGGCTTTAGTTTTAAAAATTTAGAAAACTGCCTATCACATGAAATACGCGAACATAATTACTACTGGCATCCTAAGGTAAGAATTGCTTAAAATTTTCTAAATCCAGTACTTTTAAACAATTCAAAATTTGCGACTGATAGATACCAAAGTAAACTAATAATTTCGTCATGATTAATAAATAACAAGCATATTTTCTGAGGTATCTGTGGTGTACTTCTACGCGGATAGAAAAAATATAATATTACATAGTTAAAAAATTAAATCAAACCTTTTTAGCGATTTTATATTAATATTTTTAAAAATTTAGGCCATAAATATTTTTTTAGAATACAAGTTTATTTTGCATCGTGTAAATTATAATAATTGAAAGTCCCTTTACGAAATCGGAGGAATTTTTTTTTCCAAGCATAATCTGCATTTGCGCAGAAATGATTTCCCAATGTAATTTTATCATAAATTAAAAATACAAAATTTCGCAAACATTCCAATTTTCAAATCATTGTATTTTTACAATACATAATATTAATTTAGCTTTTTCTTATTCCATGACCGTAGTAGGTAATGATCCAAAATTTGGTCAGTCTTGATTTAGAAATCGAAACCAAATACTTTGAAATGAAATTTGCATACATAAAAAAATGTTTAATTTAAAACTTTGATTTAAAGTCTATAAATTAAATTGTCCTATGCCAGGTTTTTTGAATTTATTAAAGATATTTGATAAAGTGCTAAATAATATCACAAATTTTGAAGAAAATTTATTTATTTTGTTCGTTCACTGCAGTCTCGTACCAATCAGCCAAAAGCGGGTTTCCATTGCTCATTTTGTCGTGGAGGGTTTAACACTGAATTACAACTGCATGTTCACTGGCTGGTTAGCAAACAAAGTTGTAGCAAACTTATGCAAAAAGTGGCCCAACAAGTGAATTTTGTGCTAGGTGTGCACAATAAAAGTCAAATAAAATTTAGCAACACATTGTCCTCGGTACCTACAACCAAATTGCGCCTAAAATCCGAACCTTTATCTCCATTTTATGTAAACAAGAGGCGAGCTCCAGTGGAAGACATATCTGAGCAGGGCGATACTTTAGTAAGTAAACGCACAAAAATCGCGGAAAATACGGATGTGGAAATTAAAAAAGAACCTCTGGAGGAATTTGACGAGGAATATTTTACCACTCCTTTGCCCATTATTCCAGAAGTGATTATAAAAACTGAATCGGATTTAAAAGAAGATATCAAAGAAGAACCCGATGATGATTGTGATAAACTTGACTTTTCCAAAAAACAGGATAAAGAAACTCTCACAAGGCCTGTTCACTTGCAAGCCACATCGTCAATAACGCCAGCCTTAACCCCTTCGGATGACGGTGGGAGCTCCCCAAAAATTGTTCCCAGTACCACAGTTATAAAACCTTTAATGAATTTTAAACTGGTCAAGTTATCATCAGCTACCGCGACGAATGAAAACGCCATTAGAGCTCTACCTCTCTTATCATGTCCATTCAAAGCAAGTGTCAATGTTAAAAATAATAACATTGTTGTTTCCAACGCTAGTAAACCTTTACGTTTGTTTTCGATACCTCTAAGCTACGTGAATATAAAGCCGCCGGCAACCGCGTTAAATGAAAGCATCACTAGAGCGCCACCTCTCTTGACAATGCAATTAAAAAAAGCTAATGTCAATGTGAATAATAATATTGCTTCCATTCCTAGCAGTTCTCTACGTCTGGTTTCCATTCCATCGATTGAGGAGAAAATTACACCACCGGCTCTGCCTATAAATGAAAATATCGGTGGAGCACCATCTCTTTTGCACAGGCAATTAAACCCTAATGCCAATCTTAATAGTAACATAGCTTCTATTGCGAGCAGCTCTTTACGTACGATTTCCATTCCTCCGAAGCAAGTTACAAATGAAAAGACAAGTAAAGTCCCATGCCTCGTGCCTATGAAATTAAAAACTAAGGCTACTGTTAACAGTGAATGTACTAGCACTCCCGCACGTTTGGTGTCTGTGCCTCTCAATCACATGCAAATTATAAAATTGCCAACTAGCACTCAAGTGACAAAATGTAATCAACCGGTATTAAATCCAAATCTGCCGTTGATCAAACGGACGGATTTGAAAAAATCACCTTTTCTACTTAAATTCCATCCACTAAAAAGTACACAAACGATCCCAACAACGACAACAATATCTTCTGCAACGCCGCCTCCTTTGCTTTTCAATGCAAATCTGTTAAACACGCAGGAAAAGGTAGAAGCGAGTTCTACAAACAAGCCCACCACTGTTGATGTGGATGGTCTGAAAAGATTGCCTGTGCAAGCTCCGAGTAAAGTCGAGTGTTTACGTAAGAATGTGGTTATATCGAAAGAGAGATTGAAGGCTTTGGAAAATATACCAGAAAAGAAGCAATTAATAGATCATTTTATAAAACAAATAGAACAAGTCGAACAAAAACAAACGGAGCAGAAGTCAAGTGGAACCCCTAACCTTAGAACAGATTCCATTAATGATAAAGTACAATGTTTGGCGGTGAATACTAGCAGCGCTTCATTAAATGTCACTTCCAATCCGCCTTCGGTCTTTGTTTCCATAATTACATCACCAAATTTGGAATTAATGGAAGCTCGTCGACAGCATCCTGACTATCACTATAGATTGGTTTGTCCTTATTGCCAGAAAGATTATGAACTAAAAGCTGGTTTGCGAATGCATTTGTTCAATGCTCATAATTTGACACAAAAGGACTTACATAAGATATGTGTACAAGCCAAACCATTTAAAACAACCAGTGAGTTTTTATTACAATAGTCTAGGCAACGCTTTTAATTTTCTCTTCTTAAAGTTCTTTTAAAATCTTTGGAGAATTATCCAGAAAAAGTAAAATCCTCAAGAGGTAAAAGAGAGGACTTTATGGGCAACATCCCGGATGCAAATGAGACAGTGGTCAGCCCCCCAGACTTTCCCGATAACTCCACAAAAGCACTATCCTCGCCTCCCTCAGTTGCGAATGTTGCACCCATTACATTTTCTGCCTTGAATATGCACAAAACGCGTTACATATGCAACAAATGTGGTCGTACTTGTTCGTCGAAGTCTATGCTTCATGATCACGTTTTAGCCAATTGTAGCCGTGTACCACGTTATTCTTGTTCTCAATGTCCGAAGAAGTTTTATTCGAGTGGCACGTTACACTGCCATACGTCCATACACACTGGAGAATTACCGCATAAATGTCATTATTGTGATAAACGTTTTCGTACCAAGGGACAAGTAACTGTACATCATCGTACTCATACCGGGGAAAAGCCATTTGTTTGCGAGGTAAGCTGGGTTTGTCCTATTTATAGCAAATTCTCTGTTTCTGGTAACCTTTAAATTTCTTACAATACGGAAAACTTATTGTCTATCGTTCTTTAACACGTTGAACTCACTTAAACGGATATTTTCTGACTTTTATTGTCGTTTTAAATTTTATCTACTTGTTTCAAATGAGTTCTTTGCTTGTTTTTAGGTAGTTACGTCTTATTCATGAATAGATTTGATCATGTCTTTTTTGACTTTGATCGTTTTGATCTGTATTTTGCCGATAACTCCTGCTTTATAGAATATGATTTGTTCTGCTTAGCATTTATATTTTTCTTGTTCTAGGTATGCTCTGTTCGCTTTACTCATCGTGAAACTTTAATAGCTCATCTATCGCGGCATATTGGTATGAAACGCTACAAATGTTACGGCTGCGACGAGCTTTTCCTTTGTATAAGCGCTTTGAAAACCCATCGCAACACACGCCCCGATAGTTGCGGAAAAATAAAATTTAACCCTCGCGCTGTTGGACCACGTGTTCGAGTGGTACGCGGCAATGTCATGTTTGAACCACAGCCGGAAATAAATCCTTATCTTAGATCTGAAGATCCAAAAAATGTTTTGGCTGAGTTACAGAATCATGAATCACCGTCATTTACACTGCAGAGGAATCTTAATTGATATTGCACTTTCTTATGCCCACTCCCGAGCGGGAAAGTCTTTTATCACCTAGTATACACATAAAACAATGTCAATCTCAGAAACTTAGATTCAAAACTCATTTCTATAATTTATACCCGCAGGTTATGGAAAGCATGTAATTTTTATATAGTAAATATCGATCTAAAGTTCACAGTATTTTCCAGCAATTTTTTTAGGGATTTCAAATATTCGCTTTGCCGCGAACGTAAGCAGAACATTTTTCTGTTGATCGAATGAAATTTTGGAATGTTTTTCTCGTCTGATTTTAACTTTATTCCAATTCCATTTACTTTAAATTAGTTGTACTTTAGATTAGTTGGATATAACTTTAGTACAAAAATTGTAATAATAAAAAAATTTAATTATTCAGAAATAAAATGCAAAAGCATGGAGAAAATTGAAGAAAAAATCTTTAAATCCTATAAACCTTATGCTATGCAGATACTTTCATTTGTGGAAAGCAACGATTCTTATTCACATTATTTCGATTGCCTCTTTGTCTCTGATATATGAAGCTATAGTTCTTTTAGGCTCTTCGTATTAAATAAGAATACTTTGCAAATTTCTTTATGAAAAATTTTAGATGCGTTTATAAAATTTGCGTAAAGCACTTCGGCCTACAATTCGGGGGGAAACTTCTAGGATTTCATCCGAGTCTTGTACACGCTGCATCAACTTACCATTAATCAGATATTTATCTGTGATTTCATGCAAAAACATGGAGATTTTTTGCCATCAGGAGTTCAAATTCAATGAAATTAGATGCCAACATTTTCAAAGAGATTTCTAGGTATACAATTCTCAGATGGTTTTCCGTTTATGTAAATATTTTTTGTCTTTGTTTTCTCGCAACAAACCGTTAGCTCGTTTTTTGACTTTGGTAACACTATGCCAATTACGTTAAACTGCTGTCATGTAATTAAGAAGAAGAAGAAAAAAATTATTCATGTGCTCATGTAAAAACTTAACCCAGTTTCCACAAAAAATTACAAATAATTGTAACAGCGTTGCAATCCCTTCCTTCGCAAAAAAAGTTCTAAACAAACTGTAGGTTATGAATCGAAGAGACTACGATGTGTTACGTATGTATGTGTATATTTTTTTTTACACATTGGACATCTATTTACGATTGTGTTAGCTAGTAACTTTATAATAGAAGCATACTAATCAATAAATAAATTTATATTTCTTAC